AAAATAATTATTTTTTTTTCCTTGATAAGATTGAAAAAATATTTTTAAAAATTTTTAATTTTTAAAACTTTTTATTTTAAAAATATAAATATATATTTTATCATTATATTTATGTATGAAATTAATGTATACATAATATAGATATACATTAAAAGATATATATCTATATAATAAGATAGCTAGATTTTTGAATTTATGGGAGATATATTTTCCTCTCAAATTTTACAAACCCAACGCAAAACACTTAATAACACACAGCTACACACACGCATTATACACACACACACACACACACTCATTATATATTCTAGTTGTATATACAATCCAATACACGCATAATGTCATGACTCAGTATACAGTGACTTCAGTCACGGGATATCGCTAGTAGATATATAAGATACATTTTAACAAAAATAATTTACTTTCAATCCACTTTCTTTCAAATTTTAGAGGGATTGATTTGGGTGAGTTGGAAAGAAAGTTCATCCATCCACTTTTTCATACTTCTTATTTTCCTTCGTTATCAAACATAATATTTTATCTATCCCTCTAACTTTTCATCCTTCTATTTTTCTATTGTACCAATAATTACATACTTATAATTTTAACTAAGTTTCAAATTGATCCTTCTATTCAGACCTATTAATTCATTTTGGTAGAAATATGTCATAAGACTTGCTCATAAGATTATATTTGTCCACCAAAGAATATTTCCCTTAAATGCATAAATATTTCTCTTTGTCTCACAATATCTCTTAAATTCTTGCTCTATATCTTCTTCTTCTTCTTTATTTTTTTTATCTTTTTTTAAAAAAAATTAGATGAAATAAAATAAGATTTTTTAACCTGCACGTAACAATTTTTTCATCGGATAAATATACCCTTTTTTACCCAAGTCATGTGTCAGTCATGAAAAACCATTCTCTTATAATAAATTATTGAATGCTGATGGTAGGATTAAATTGAAACTTAAATAAAACTCTGAAGACTTGATTGTTGTAATTAAAACTTCAAACACCAAATAAGAATAAGGTAAATACTTTAATGGTATAAATTATAATTTCCCAATACATTTTCACCTCATAAAAATGTTCGAACCTATCACTTGTTGTGTCCTGGTTGGTATGTTGATTATCTGTAATATAAAAAAAGACAGAGTTTAATAAATTTATTCGACGGTCTAAAATAGACTCATCTAACAGTCACTAACATACCTCTCAAAATTATTTATGTTGTACTATGCCTTTAAGCACAGGTTACCCCTAAGACAATATTAAAGACTGATTGTTTTATGAGATCATAGTTGTTAGTTACATTAACAAGTGATGCCGTGATGCTAAGGATCTCTTCCACTGTTTAGCAAATAATACCATGTCGTCACGTAACTAATCAATATTAAATAAAATTAATTAAACTCTACTAATTCCATATAATAATTATTGAACGTAGAATTGCACTATTAATATATTAAAAAAGTGTTGCAATGTAACTCTTATATTAGCTTTCATTAACGTTAACAAAATGATCAACGATAGCTAACGAAAGTATTATATTACAACACTTTTAATATTTTAGAATTTGATATTCTAAATTGATGATGCANGTTAGCTTTCATTAACGTTAACGAAATGATCAACGACAGCTAACGAAAGTATTACATTACAACACTTTTAATATTTTAGAATTTGATATTCTAAATTGATGATGCACAAAATTATCTTGTGCAAGATCAACAGTCAAAGATATTAACGAGTGTGATTAATGAGCAATTAATGAACAATCAATGGATAAAAACAGTAAATAAACAATCAACATAGAGCTTTATAGTGATTTGGTCCGGGTGACCTACGTCCACTCTCGAGAACGGCAACGGCGCCCTGGGGCATTTTATTAATGAACAATATCACCAAGAGAGTCACTCCGGTGTATTACAGTGTTTTAGAGAAAGAGAGAGAGCAATGTGTGTAGGGGTATGAGAGTCTGCCCTCTATATGGAGAAGGCTTACATTATATAGTTGTGATGAGGCGGTGACGTGAAGAGAAAGACTTCTATTTTTTTAGTAAGTACAGCTATGGTAAGAGATCTCCGAGCCTATCCCGATGTTTTCTCCCTCATACTCTTATTTTTTCGGAGGAGGGTCTTGAACTGGACTAAGCTCGTACTTGATTTTGGGCTTGGACCTGGAGTGATCTTAGACTTACATTGGAGTGGTAAAGTGGGGAGCAATGAGCAATGCTTGGACAGTTGAGGGGGCCATGGGTGACGCCCCAAGTCCTTGGGCGTTGGCTTTTAGTGCTTTGGGTATTGGCTTCTAGACGTTGGCCTCTTGTACCTCTTGGATGCCCGTCTTTTTGATGTCGGCCTCTTGGACGTCCGCCTTTTGATGTCTTTTTGGTTTTTCTCCTGATGGGTCGACCCAGATTCAGTTGGGCTCTTCTTTGGACTTTCTTGGTTTATTTAAATTGGACTTGACCCAGTTAATTTCGGACTCATCATAAATGATAGTGATAGTAAAATGTAATTATATCTAGCTTACAAACGATTGTGATAGAATAGATATATGTTTTGAGATTAATTCCAAAATTAGAACCAAAATCTTAAAAATACAAAGGGTTCAATTAAAAAAAAAAAGGTATTAAACACTTATGGTTACTATTGTAATGAATGATTTATATTAAAATCAAACCCTCAAAAAAAATGTTTCATTTGAAAAAAGTATTAAACACTCACTCTAACAACTAAAACGAATAGTTTCTTTTACGAAAATTCAACGATGACTTATATTTTTACTGTTGTCTGTGTTGTGTTTTTTGAAATAAATGTTGTATAATATAAACAAATGTTTCGTTTTAATAAGTTTTAACCACGACCAAATATTTACAATAGGTAACTGAATATTAAAACCCTCGTTTTCGTTGCCAGAGTGACTTTTGACCTATTTNATGTTTTTTGAAACAAATGTTGTATAATATAAACAAATGTTTCGTTTTAATAAGTTTTAACCACAACCAAATATTTACAATAGGTAACTGAATATTAAAACCCTCGTTTTCGTTGCCAGAGTGACTTTTGACCTATTTTTATTCATGTTGTTGTTTTGCAAACGTTCTCAACAATTTTTCCACTATTTATTTTTTTTTTCTAATGAATCAATTGTTGAAGGAATTGTTCAATTTGTGAAGATTGTCCGATGATTTTGAGTTTTAAATTTTGAAATCGCTGAAGTTTTCAGTTATGAGTTTCGGTTTTAGTGTGAGTTTGGGTGTTGAAGTTGTGAATTATGAGTTTCGATTTTAGTTCGATTTTGTGTGTTTTGAACATTAACGTTATGGATGATACCGCTTAAAGAAATAAAAGTAATTACATCTTTTTTAATCTAGCTGCCCTTCATTGCTGAAAAGAATGCACGGTGGACTTCATGACCCAAATGTTTTTTCTATTGGACCGTGCACAGAAAAACTCATTTTTTTGTTACTGTTGTGTTCATATTATTGTTATATTAGATGTTACTATTTTTTGCATAGAATTTTGATAGAAATTGAATTTACACCCAAATCAATGAGTTTCTTGTTTTCAAAAACTCATTGATTTTTTGTTACTATTGTGTTCATATTACTGTTATATTAAATGTTACTATTTTTTGCATAGAATTTTGATAGAAATTGAATTTCCACCCAAATCAATGAGTTTCTTGTTTTCAAAATTCGAATATAGAGTATTCTTTCTGTTGATGGTGGAGTCTTGAGATTCGATCGTCCCTGTTCCACTTGAGCTACCCTCGGGGGTAAAATCATGCTCTTCAAAATGGTCTTATGTGAATAAAGAGAAGTTTTGGCGTAATTTGGACAATTGAATCTCAAATCGACTTAAACCTAGCAAAAAAAGTTTTAGATGGACTTATAGTCCCATAAGTCCTAAAATATGGACCGCTCCCAAAATTTCTCTTTCTTTATTGTAACTTAAGCACATTAAGTGACAATTTAACCCAAAATAAATTATAACCAAACCTAATCTATAATATAAAATATGACAAATTTTAATAAATTTATTCGATAATCTTAAATAGACTCATTTAACGGTCACTAATATTTCTATCAAAATCATTCACGTTATACCTGTCCGTAGTTAAGTTATAGTATTCGATAGCATACCTAATTATTTGGGAGAATTATATTTAGACTTTCTTAGATTTATCACTCAATCACTCAGACTCTTTGATATTTGAAATATTACACACAGACTTTTTAAAGTTTGTAAACACGTAATACTTAGACTTTTGTCATTAGTATATTCGTTAGTAAATTATATTCAGACCCTCTAAATTTTGTAGGCATGTAATACTTAAACCTCTCAAGTTTTAAATGTTATATTTAGACCAAAAATACTCCAATTAAAAGGTCAAAATATAATTGACACAATATATTTTAGCTTTAACAAGGGATCAAACTGTAATAGATACAATATATTCTAACTTTAATTGGAGTAATTTGATAGATTAATTTGATCGTTTAAATGACCAAATTAAAATCCAATAGATATTATAATTGTATATTAATTATGATTTTTTTTAAAAAAAATTGACTTTTTATTTTTGATTTTATTTCAATAAATAATAAAATAAAACATGAATTTTGATTTTAAAATTTAAAATATTTGATATTCTATTTTTGATTGTAGTATTTTTAGTTTAAGTATAATATTTTAAATTTGAGAGGTCTAAATATTATACATTTATAAAATTTAGGGAATCTGAGTATAATTTATTTAATAATATAATAAATATGTATAATATTTTAATATCAAGAAATTTAAGTGGTGAAGTAACAAATTTTTTTTAGGGGGTCGGAATATAATGTTTCCTAATTCTTTTGCTGCTGTGGCAAACAAAAAAATACCAAAAAAAAAAACTATAAATAAAGAACCCAGATCTAAACGGTAACGTTTAGAGAGAGAGCGCTTTGAAATTTTGACAGAATCGAAGGAATTGAAAGGCGAAGCAATGGAGAGAATCAGATGGTGGAAGGTCTACGCATTGATCGGGCTTTTGCTATTCAGCGTGGTTCGAGATATCTCGGCTCTGTCAGTCACCGTCAACGACGTCGAGTGCGTGTACGAGTACGTTCTCTACGAAGGGGACAACGTTTCCGGGAACTTCGTTGTCGTCGATCACGACATCTTCTGGAACTCCGATCACCCCGGCATCGACTTCATCGTAATCTCTCTCTCTCTATATGTATTTGGATTTTTCAAGTTGTGCATCTATGGTCTTCTTATGACCTGTGTATGTCTGGACTTAAATATGCTAAGTTTTTGTGATTATTTTGTAATTTTTCTCCAAAGGAATTCTAATTAGGTGGTTAATTGATTGAATCAACTGGATTGATAAGCGAGCTGAGGTTATTCATTGAATTTACTGCTTTTTTTTGTATGTTTTGATCCGTTTATAGTTATTTATAGTAAATTTTGTTGTGGTTGATGGTCTTGGGTGGTCTGGACTTGTATTTTGGAGGGGTTTGGGTAGATTTTCTGGCTGTTGGGGGATTTGGCTTCTAATTTTGGTCGAGACTCGAGTTGGGTACATAAATTTTGAATTTTTCCGAGTGATTGAACTCGTTGTTTGCATGTTGGTATTCCAATTCGTGAAATTTTCTGCCTCAATGGTATTGGAATAAAAAAGAATTGCAATTGGAATATTATGTTATTTGCTAGAATTCTGGAAAAGCAAAGAAATTTTTTTGGGTAAATAAACGAAAAAATTGAAGAAATTATCATGTAAAAGTAAGATAAAGCAAATAAACTTGTAAGTGTATGTACAGGTGTGTGATAAGGTGATATGTAGAGCTGGCTCTCAGTTTGTTTTTTCCGGGTTGCTGAGTTCGGACACCCATGCCAAGTCCTGTGTCAACATGCATGTCCATGTCTCCTAAACCTAGTTGTACATAACAGTCATGGTCATGATGAAATTAAAAACTTGGGTGCCAGCAGTCAACATGAATTTTAGCGGCCACAAAGATGAAAGGCTGAGGGATTAGGTATCAATACACTCCTTTAGGCCTCGAACTTTTTGATACAATGCTATTGCCTAGTATTGGTCTAACCATTTGCAGAGGAAAGAATCAATAATAAAAAGTTGGTGATTGGTACCGTTATGTATAATAATGAGGCAAAACTGATTAAAAGGTTTGACCATGTGCGATAATGACTTGTGTTTTTGCCAATAAAACGATAATATGATCCATATCAAGGGTGTTCTTAGAGGGAGGTGAAGACTGCCATAGGTTTGTTAGTGAGGAATTAGTGGTTTGGATAGAGCAGGATGGCAAAACAAAATTCATATTTTCTTGCTGCCAATTCCAAATGGTTGGGTTAGGAATTCGTGGAGTCGAGCCACGGTGCTAGTTTCACAATTGATTTAGAGAAATCTGGACAATGATGGCGAAATTATGCTGCGCATATATAGATCACTTAGGATGATCACTGTCTAATTGGGATTCTCATCAATGGATGCTGTCATAATTCATAAGCCAGCTCTTGTCACTTGGTATTGCATACTACAGACAGTATACAACAAACATCAGAGCTGTGATATCTTATGTTAACTTTATAATTGATGTAATGTAGAGATTTACACATTTAATGTTTGAGTTTCATGCAGGTGACATCTCCTGGAGGCAATGCGGTGCACACATTGAAGGGAACACCTGGGCAAAAATTTGAGTTTAAGGCCCCACGAAGTGGAATGTACAAATTTTGTTTCCATAATCCTTATTCAACACCAGAGACTGTCTCTTTCTACATTCACGTGGGCCACATTCCCAATGAGCATGACCTCGCTAAGGATGGTTTGTTCAATTACTAAATAGATATATTCTTAACAGTACATTTTGAGCATACTATCACCTTTTTTGCAGAGATTCAATCCTTGCTACATGCATAGTGCTGTACACAGTACCACATTGATCATAAATAACTATAAGGGATTGTTTGTCGAACATGATCTACAACTTACAAGTTTTAGGCTGATATAATAAGCTGAAGATCTATTTCCTTATTTATTTTTTTCACCTTTATTTGTGTTTTGCAACAGAACATTTGGACCCCATAAATGTTAAAATTGCTGAGCTGAGGGAGGCATTGGAATCTGTTACAGCGGAACAGAAGTATTTAAAAGCACGGGATGCTCGCCATCGTCATAGTAAGCTATTTTCCTTTCCTTCAATAAGAATTGTGATCAATGAATTAATGTGGTCAGCCACTTATTGATGAAATTTTTCTAAGCTACTAGTCTGGCTCGCAGTTGTGGGCTTGTGAGGCTGTTTTGCATTCATGGGTCAGCTTGCACATGAACTAAGGCATTTTCTGCGGTTGTATGGGAATTATGTACTCCCATCATATACGGTCAACTCTAATGATAGATAATTTTGGAAGATATTTATTTGAAACTGATAGATTAGTAAGTTCTAATTTTTTTCCAATTCTGTCTAGCTAATATGTTTTTCTTTAAATAGTTTTTAATGAAAAAAAATAAATAAGTAAACAAATGAAAGTTACTACATATGTGTTCAATGACATTTGCGCAGCAAAAATGTCGTATACTAAATCTGCTATGACACTAGAAGTTATTAGACAATACTGCTCGAGTATTAGCTTAATTATCAGCTAATATTGATGAGAATGGTGATTGGTGAATCACCTTCTCTGTCTGGCTTTTAAAGAAATTCAGTGGCCTATACATTCCATTCATTAGTATACTATCAAATGCTTTTCCATGTGTGTTTGCATCTATATACATGAATAGTTTTTTTTTCCTGAAAAAAGCAGGAGTTGTATATTATGTGCCACAATCAAGTAGATACTTTTTTTCTGAAAAAAACCAGGAGTGGTAGATCATGTGCCATGATCAAGTAGATATGTTTTACTATTACGAATTGTTACAATCATTGGGTCACTAAATATAAGAGTGGTTTAACATGCAGGCATACAAACATCATGTTTTTTTTTTTAGTCTGAACTCTGAAGAGTAACATCTAGTAACATGGTGTAATGGTCATTGTGAAATATTGCCATTGAAAGTAAAATCCCTGGGGGTGTCTTTCCTATTTAGAATTCAAATGGAATAACTTCTCATGCATGTGAGTAAGGAAATATAACCGGTTGTCCGTGGTTAAGCTGAAATTAGACTTGAACTAGTGTTGTTGATAAGTCATGCTAGACTTCACAATTGTCATTGTTAAAATTGCCCCCCAAAATGTGTGTTTTTAACCATTTTGTACAAGCAAGAGTAAATTGGGTGTAGTTGGGGCAGTGCCAAGTAGACCAACTTTTAGCATATTGGTGATTCAATGCATCAACATGTCAGTTTGGAAGTTTTCTTACTAGCATCTGACCATCTGCCCAATATAATGAGATATTGCCAGACAGAGAATAAAAAAGGTAACAATAGAAAAGATATGTCAGGGCTACTGTCATTTATCAAACAGAATAGTTGTGACATGGCAAGTGAATTAACAAAAATATAATCTCATGTGTTGGATATGTGGATATGTGGATTCTTTTGTTGTGCAAGATATTTTATCTTTTAGAATGTTTAAATACGATGATATTTGCCTCCCTTCTTTTGTCAATTCTGACTTTTTTTTATTGGACTATATTTTACGCTTAAATTTTGGTTTCTTTTGAGGGAACCCAGTAAGTATTGGTTTCCACAGTTCTTTATTGTGTCTTCTAATTACTGTTTTATTGCCTAGATCCCAATCCAAATTACAGTTACAGATTTTCACAGTGTGCGAGATTTTATAACCTCCTCCCTGCCCTCTCCACCTTTTGTTCATTATGCGACAGCCTAATATCCATCTGTCTTTGCTGCAGCAAACGAGAGCACACAGAAGCGTGTGGTGTTTTACACAATTGGAGAATACACAATGCTGGCCATAGCAAGTGCACTTCAAGTTATATATATACGTCAGCTGTTCAGTAAGTCAGTTGGATACAATCGGGTTTGAGGTACTTTTTTGAAGCTTCTTAGCTAGTGTTAACTTTGTGTCTACAAGAACTGAGTCAGTTTTTTTTGGAAAGAGTTAACATTTGAGTTTAGAGAAACATGTCTTGGTTGTGACAAACAGTATGCTGGTTCATGCTATTTATTCCTTCCATTTACTAAGAAAATAGTGTACTTTTCCTAGTTCAGATTCAGAAGGATATGAACACATAAATATTATTCCTAAAATGCTTGGTGATTTGGGGAAAAAAATCAGCCGATTATTTTATATCTGGTATGTGTATTATCAGATTGCTAATGGAAGAATATGGGTTTTCAAGTCAAAATGACATGAAGTATTTGAGTGGTAATCTTTTCAGCACCACCAAGCATCAGCTCTTGGCATTCGAAGCGGTATCTGACAGTTTCCTGTGTACTTTGCATGAGATTCCTCTTCTCCCCGCGGGGTGGGAGTCTTGGATTTTCTGTATAACAGTAGTATGAAATTTCCTCACCTATGCACAAGGTGTTTTGTTGGTGGTGTTGCAATTTTGAGTTCTTATCTGCTCCAGACCGTGTTTTTACCTTTTAAGTGATGCTGATCAGTGGCAAATGGATGCTAGGCTGCTGAAGCTTGGTCTGAAACTTTTAAAACTAAGCTTGATTCACTTATAGTTCAAGTGATCTAGAACATGCTATTTGTTGAAAGGACTCCTCAAAAAGCTCATGACCCGTGGGTTGGTCCGATAGCCGGTGATTAATCTACTGGCTGCCCTGGTCCATCATGCGAGGTCTCGTGGACAGTCCGATGCATAGGGACCAGGGTGTAGTAGGCCTAAAAATTTTAGATACGATTTGTAAAATCGACACGAACTCGACACGGATTTAACGGGTTTAGGTATAGTCTTAACGGATTTAGGTGATTAACGAATTAATTCAACAGACTCGTGAGTTGTGATATAAACGAACCGGTTTTGTGTTTAACTCATAAATTTGTTTTGACTCATTAATAGTGGTACTATAAATTTTTAAAAAGCAAGTTAAGTTTCTCGGCCTCTTTCTCATCTCACACCTCTCATCTCTTAGAATCATTTAAATTTAGTAGTGATTTAATGTTTATTTTTTGTCTTTATTTTTTTTGTTCAGTTATGATTTATTGTTATAGTAAATAAATCAAATATGTGTGTGTTGTGAGTTGATAATTTTTTGTGTGGACTCGAAATATTTTAACCTATTCTCCTATTTAGCAGGTGACACGCAAATTGTACCGGATAACTCGGCTAATAAACGATTCATGCATAGGTGTGATAGTTAGACTCGTTTATATAAATGAATGGGTATGGATGAAAGGTTACAGATAAATAAATTTTTGATACAAATTTGTTTTATCTGATACAAAATTGTCTCATTCGATACGATTGCCAGATTATAGTGTTGTCAAACGCAGATTTTTGACCCACTAGGTCAGGACGCCGGCCTGTTTATGGCCTGCTACCTGTGCCCGGCAAGTTGGGCCTCCACTTGGTCTATTGTGTTGATAAAATTATAAAAAAATATTTCAGATTTAAAAAAATAAAATTGCAATCTTTGAGGCTGCTTGTTGAAACTTAAAAGAAAAAAAAATGCCCAGTCCGACTGATTCTACGACAATCCGTTAAAAAGGTGGAAATGACTTGGGGACTGGACACTAAGGATCCGAATGAAGTCGATCAATATAAATAAACGATACGATTCATTTATATACAATACGAAATTGATATGATACGATTTTTTAAACACGAATTAATAAATTAATTAAATATAAGTGAAATTATTTTTAACACAAATTTATTAAAATTTAACATGAATTCGTCTCACCCTATAAAATTAATAGGCCTATTGGTCAGATAGACGGGTCGTGGGTTTGTATTGGATGGAATAGCTAGACCCGACTCTTGACAATCTATGGCCCAGTGTTCTTGCCCATAACCTCCTTGGGTCATTGTTCCGCCCACCCCACCTGTTGTCAACCCATATGTTGTTTTGAGTCTTATATCTAAGTTCCATGTCTATAAGCAAAGAAAAAAGAAAAGGAATATTAAAAAAAATTGAAGAAAGAGAGAGAAAAGGGAAGAAGAAGAAAAACAGACAACCCCACGTCGTGCTTGTTTTTTATTGGGCTATTGCACTTGCTTGATATACAATGGATCCGTACCCGAATCCAGAAATTGGTAGACACGTAAAAAGAGACTGGCAAATGTTGTACGGACACGTTTCATTGTCCAAATCCTTCATTTTTTTTAACCTGGCCTTGATCGTCGCTGTAAACCACGTCATCAATACTCGTAGGATAAGCTCTAACCTTGTGGTCAACTTTTCTACTACGAAAATGAGCTTGTAGTGAGTTTACTAAAATACCCAATGCTGCCATAAAGTGCTTCTATACATGGGCACATGTCGGTGATCCCATTAGTCATATCTTATCTATCTCTTGAATTTTTAATTTAATATAAAGTGAATTTATTCCTTTTTCTAGAGTTTTCCTCATCACTATTTTTTTTTTCTAGCTCATTATTTAAGAAGTTGTAAAATTAATTATAAGAATCATAAGACTTTAAACATTGATTTTAAAAAAATTTATTAAATAAGTAGTACTTAGTTATTAGAGAGTTTTATGAGTAGTTATTTAGGGTAATTGATAGACTATTACGGGATAATTTTTTTTACTTGAATTTAAGTAATTAAAAATTTTATAAATTAAAAAAAAGCAAGATGTAAGGCTTTGTAAAGTCCTCTATTCAAAACATAATTTCTATATTCATATATATAGACACAAACTCATGTTTGTTAAAAAAAATAATAAAAATAAAAGAACATGAACAAAATTGCAATTTTATCCCAACAATAATGTATCTTAGATTGACCTAGTTAGCATAACTTTGAATTTTGATAATGTGTTATTTTGTCATATTTTACATAAGAATCGAGTTATGAATTTTTATTTTTTTTTTGGTCAAGAATCAATATATCGTGATGTCAAAATTTTATGCCGCAGCTAGTTGAAAGATTATATCTATCCTCAAAACAATTAATAACTAAATTTAAATCAATCAAAATTAGGACACAATTAATAGAAAAGATACATTATTTATAATTAAGTGAAAATTGAGGGTGAGTCTCCTAAATGGACTTATAATGACTTGAGTCCTGAAAAAAAAATTATTTAGAGGTAAGTTCATATTTAAAGTTATATGTAGGTACTTAAGTCCATTTAACTTTTAAATCTCAAAATTACTCATAACGGTGTTAGTTTTATTCAATTATATGTTATATTATTGAGATATATATGAAAACTCTTGATTGAGTTATATATGTAAACTGTTTATTTAAATATTATAATAATTAACGGAAGTTATATATTCTGATAGTTATATATGTGAAACTTGATGTACAAATAAATTGTTGGTCTATTAAGTCAAAATCAAATCACAAAATTTCCTTAACAACAATATTGCATAATATAAGGAGGCTGGATAATACTAACAGAGTTCAGTAACATGAATGTTAATATATAATAACATTCATGTTATTATATAATTGAAGTTATAATTAGGGTCGTGTTATCAGTACAATTGTGTTACTATACTGACACTAATAATACTATAGTGACACGAATGTTACTATAGAGTTACAAAATTTACATTATGTACGAATGTCACAGTAATATCAAAGGTTTGTGCTCAGTAACACATTAACTTTTATAAAATACAAGGTAATAGAGTTTTCACAGTAATATCAATTTTCGAAAAATTATAGTGAAAAAATGATTGTATTGGTAACACATCGATCAATTTCCTTGCAAAATTTCTAGCGCACATGCACACAACTTTTCATTAAAAATCATACACCAAATCAAAATTCTTAATTGACAGAATTAAATCCTAAATTTTTATTACTTTTTTACAATATTACTATTTTTTTTGTGAGCATGTTACTATTTTTTTTAATAACTATGTTAATGTCTTTGTTGAATATGTGTACTATCGTTATTTTTTAAATATTAATATTTAATAATAATATTTTATTAAATGGAGTCCAAAATAAACTGAAATAGTAAATTAAAATTGTATTTTATGAAATATAATGAGTTTGAATTTTAAATATGAACAATTTTCGATAAATGAATAAGGAAATTTTGTAGCTTGGAACATTGTAGCCAGATTTGAAGACGATTATAAAAGAGACATATATGACTAGTTATCATGTCCATATGTGAAAGAGATGTTCCTTAAATGTCGTTTACAATATTCTTATAAGGAAGGATTACAACAGTAAAATTTATAAAATTTAGACTTAAAATCAAATAAGTTTTATTAACGGACTTATATTCAAATAAGTCCATACAGGAGGATCAGCCTCCAAATCTCCCTATAATTAATGAGACTTCTAGATCATAATTGGGGATAAAAAAATTGATAAGAACTAATAGAACCCCAATTTGTAAGAGGGAATTTTAATAGTAATTTAAATGGTAATATAAACGAATTATAAATTTAAGTGTTTTGAATTCGAATTTTTTTAAAATTAGAGTATAAGAGATTTATTTTTCATAAATATTCTAGTCATGAAGTAAATAACTAACCTTTAATTGAATAAAAAAAAATTAATTAAGATAACTTACCTTTAATTGAATAAAAAAAAATTAATCAAGATATGCGTTACTCGAATAAAATATGGCGTTGAAGAAAAACACAAATTTGCGAGAGGGAAAAAAAATATAGATGCTACGTACAAAGTCCCTAGATTCCGCAATTTGTAGACAGACAAAGGGTACTTTTGGCAATCAGATATTCTTCTCAAAGCTATTCATCATCCTGTAGAGCTCTCTCTCTCTCATTCATTTACAGAACCAGTGATCTTTGTGTTNGCAATTTGTAGACAGACAAAGGGTACTTTTGGCAATCAGATATTCTTCTCAAAGCTATTCATCATCCTGTAGAGCTCTCTCTCTCTCATTCATTTACAGAACCAGTGATCTTTGTGTTTGTGATATTTCTCATCTAAGAAACCAACAAAAATGTTGGCAGTGTTCGACAAATCGGTGGCCAAGAGTCCAGAGGCTCTACAGAGTCCACACTCGGACTCATCAGTGTGTGCACTGAAAGATGGGTTCTTGGCTCAACACTTCTCGTCTGTACACCCTGGTTCGGTCACCATCAACCTTGGCTCTGCTGGTTTCATCGCTTACTCCATGGACAAACAGAACCCTCTCTTGTCAAGGTTCAATACCCACTTCCCTTTTCTGGCTTCTTTCTTGTTTTTCTTCTTGATCTGAATCATCTGATCGTAATTTATCCAGGGTTTTTGTTGATTGTATTTTGACTAGATTAATATACACATTTGTGTTCATACACGTATTATAGAACCTTTTATTTTTGTGTTTGTTTGATGATCTGAATTTGTAGATCCTGGTGATACTTTCTTGGATAATTTCGGTTTATGTTTAAAGCTTGTATTTTCTTGGTGTATATGGATTTGTTGTCTACTGTATTGCTTTGAATGAACAATCATTGCCTTTTCATGTGCAACCCATATGCAGAGTTGGTTTATTTATTCTGCAAAACCCCATTTACTTTATTGCTGTTGAGCTTGTTTCCCCTTCCTTTTACCATTTTATCTTCTGCAGAAGCATGTATTTACCTGGAACATTTGCCAGGTTTATAAATTTCTTGTTTGATCAGTATGCTATTGTCTTTAATTTTTATTTCTGTGGGCGCTGATTGGGATCTAGGATGGAGGGTCTGGGATTGTTAGGGCGTATGTTCCAAGTTTGTACAATACTGTTGGTTTGCCTTCCTTTGCTTGTTTGTCCGGACCAATTGCATTTCATTAGCTAGTGCTTCCAATGAGGACAAAATACAGAGTTTGATCTTTTTTTTTTTTTAATCTTATCATCCTATTAGTTTATGTTGATTAATTCTGGATATTAAATTATTCTATCAATTCTCTATATCACTATGGATTGCCTAGTTTTTCTAGTTTAGAAGACTTTAGTGTTCCATAAGATGCCTTGTTTTGCATTTCATCAATGTTATTTACCTCATATCATGGTAACAATTGATAACCCTGTTTGGGCCTACATTCAAATGTTATGGAGAAGAATATGGTAGTTAGTCAACTTCCATACCTGGTACTTTGTGGTTGTGTCTGTTACACTAGTTAGGTTTGATGACTCTAACAACTGTCTAGTTTTTCGTCTGTCAGGATAAATAAAATCTAGAATTTCTTTGGCCCTGTTTTTAATGGCTTTTTTTTTTTTTTTTGAACATGATTTACTACTTGGATAATTGCAAGTTTTTAAATAGAATTTCATTTTTGTGCTGCATTATTGGTTGAAAATTTTGACGCCTTGCTTTTGACAGGTTGTTTGCCGTTGTGGACGACATATTTTGCTTGTTTCAAGGCCACATCGAGAATGTTGCTCATCTCAAGCAGCAATACGGGTTAAACAAGACAGCAAATGAAGTGATCATCGTTATAGAAGCATACAGAACTTTGAGGGATAGAGGTCCTTATCCTGCAGATCAGGTTGTAAGAGGTCTCCACGGGAAATTTGCATTTATTCTCTTTGACAGCTCTTCAAAAACAGCTTTTCTAGCTGCCGTACGTGATACTTTCACCCTTTTACGTCATCATCCAATTCTCTCGTGTACTTTATTTTATAGATTTTCTTCTGAAAGCTCCCCCGTAGTTGTGGATAGTTTGGAACTGTGCTTATTACCCTTGTATTATACAGGATGCTGATGCGAGTGTACCCTTTTTCTGGGGAGCTGATTCAGAAGGTCATCTTGTTCTGTCAGATGACGCAGAGGTTGTGAAGCGGGGCTGTGGGAAGTCTTTTGCACCATTTCCCAAAGGTACAGCATGCATGCCATGGATTCTCATTCATACACTGTTGAGCATTCCTTCGGAAAAAAATCTATATATTTTGCTTTGANAAGTCTTTTGCACCATTTCCCAAAGGTACAGCATGCATGCCATGGATTCTCATTCATACACTGTTGAGCATTCCTTCGGAAAAAAATCTATATATTTTGCTTTGAAATTCATTGGGAAGGAAGTAGCAATAACGAAACGACACAAGAAATTTGATAGTACAGGACCTATGGGTGAAATGGAGCTCCCGTGTNGAAATTCATTGGGAAGGAAGTAGCAATAACGAAACGACACAAGAAATTTGATAGTATAGGACCTATGGGTGAAATGGAGCTCCCGTGTTATTTTGGGCCATGAAGTGTTCCAAATATTTGTCTTATGGACTCCATCACTTTTCTTCTTCGATTCCTCTTGTAGGCATTTTTGAAGTCTTACTCAACTCCTCTTTCCCATATTGAGTTTTAGCTTTAGGAGTAGGAGTAGCACAAAAAGAGGGATTAGCATTATTGACCCAATGCTCCACGCACTGGGAAAACGCTCTAGCGACGGAAACCGGCCACTAGTTACAAAGTTCCATTAAGGTACCAAGAGGGCTATCACAGTCAGAAGCAAAGCAATTGCCTCTATTTGTAAAGTACCCCTTTCATTAGTTATTTTTCATTTCGAGCCAAACCTTAGTAGTTGGGCCTTTTCTTATAGAGCATTTGCCAGTTGTAATTTTTTGTCACATTTTGCATCCATACACTTATGGGCATAAGAAGTAGATTGCTCAATATGCCTATTTACAATGTTCTCTGCAGGATGTTTTTTTACAACCTCTGGAGGCTTGAGGAGTTTTGAGCACCCGCTTAATGAGGTGAAGCCAGTGCCTAGGGTGGACAGTTCAGGCGAGGTTTGTGGTGCAACCTTTAAGGTGGATGAGGAGTCTCGGAAAGGAGGAACTGGCATGCCGAGGGTTGGGAGTGCTGCGAATTGGTCACAACACTACTGATCTCATACCCATTTCCATTATGGCTAGGCTTTTGTTAGTAATTAGCCTTCCATTCATCTCTTTTTAACAACCTTGTTTCATGTTCTCATCTTGATGATTGCTGCTTTGTGAACTACGAGCTTATATTTGTAGGAAGTGATTTCCAAAGTGAACCAAGACATTTGATGCAGCTATATTATTGCTTACTGTTTCATTTGAATCTGGTACATCAGAATGAAGCCTTTATCACGGCTCTCAGGAATATATACACCTGATTACTATTACTTTGATAAACATATTCTTGTTTGGAAACTTCGTGTTTGATGTATTGACCTCCCAATAATTTTAAATGGCGGTATGACTTATGTGTCATGGCCTGCTACTCTGTATGGAGGGAAGTTATGCTTTGGAAAGGGAATGAATTTATGAGCTCAGCAATGCTGTTTCTTTTGGGCACACTGCTCTGAGGTGCTTCTTTCATCTGTCAGTTATCATATCAACATACTCTGTTGAGTTCTGAGACATTATATTTGCTGTTGTTTTACAACTGCTGCACTTTGTACGCATGTATAACAGTAGGCAGCTAAATTTTTTGGATGCTGATACGATTTCTTAAACCTACATTAAGCCATTCCAATTGCTGAAGTGAAATTTCATTTGCAAATTCTTCATGCTCAACTCTCTGGATTGTAGAGTCTGAAATATCTTTACTATCATTGGTAGATATCAGGAAAACAGAACATCCCAGTATATGTCATTTTTGGGTGTTGCAGCAAAAAAAGGATCTGTACCTGACTTACAGTTCTCTGCATCTTCACTTAGGTTTTCAGGCGGATTGCTATCCTGACATGGGCTCAAAGGATCACAATTATGGCTGCATATGAATGATGAATTATGTGAAAAACATATAGTAAATGAAGGGCAGCATACCTGGGGAAGGGTAGAAAACACCTTCCAGAAACACTGTTCACCTCTACCCTTCCTGAACAACTCAGATTGCGTATACCTGATACTCTGACTGCATGTATGTGATGCACTGCAGTGGTGGGAATCTTGTGTAGTCAACCCAGGGTGCCATGATTGTGTAATTACGAAGNCTCAAAGGATCACAATTATGGCTGCATATGAATGATGAATTATGTGAAAAACATATAGTAAATGAAGGGCAGCATACCTGGGGAAGGGTAGAAAACACCTTCCAGAAACACTGTTCGCCTCTACCCTTCCTGAACAACTCAGATTGCGTATACCTGATACTCCGACTGCATGTATGTGATGCACTGCAGTGGTGGGAATCTTGTGTAATTACGCCTGATACTCTGACTGCATGTATGTGATGCACTGCAGTGGTGGGAATCTTGTGTAGTCAACCCAGGGTGCCTTGATTGTGTAATTACGATGCTGCTGCTATTTGTAGCTTGTAACAAGTTTGAAAGACACTGCTACACGCTTTTGCTGCCGGACCCCATAGCAGGGGGAAAAGCTACGGTAGGAGGTATCGTACCAAAATTATAATATTTTTTGAGGGATAAATTATAATTTTTAAAAATTATAATTGATAGATTGACATTGATAACGAAGTTATAACTTATAATTTTTAAAGGTCAAGTTAGGAAAGAAGTTATAATTGTTCAGGCGAAGTCCATGATCGATTATATGTAGGTGTAATCGATCATGGTCTTCTTGGTCGATCATGAACTTCCTCTAAGGAATTGTAACTTTTCTCTTTTAAATTGTAATTTTATCATAGAAGTAGTAAGTGGTGTTACCGTGAACTTTTCCCAAAGTAGGTTCTACAGATGCTTATGTGCGCATGTAGGTCAGTCAATCGTGTCGGATGAGGTGAATTTATATCAAAAAATAATTTATTCATATCTAATTAGTTTATTAATTTGTATCTAACAAATAATATCATATTCGGTTCGTGTTGTAAATAAATCATGTGTAACCGATATATACACGAGTCATGTCGTATATTTTTTTTAATTAGTTCTATTCATATCCGATCTGTTTATTAGTCATGTTGTTTCGGGTTCACTCGTTTATAAAATGGATAACTTAAAGAAGATCCAAACCTTATAATTTCATNGTGAATTTATATCAAAAAATAATTTATTCATATCTAATTAGTTTATTAATTTGTATATAACAAATAATATACACGAGTCATGTCGTATATTTTTTTTAATTAGTTCTATTCATACCCGATCTGTTTATTAGTCATGTTGTTTCGGGTTCACTCGTTTATAAAATGGATAATTTAAAGAAGATCCAAACCTTATAATTTCGTACCGTATTAACGAATCTTATCATTTTTTTAGCGCTCTTGTGCACACGCATAGGCATACATGTTCTTTTCATACAGAAATACAAATTTGCCATTCACTTTACTGATTCAGTTGATGGTCATGATGAAAAAGAAAGATAACTGATGCAAGGAGGACTAGTCTTTGTTCTATATTGACGTAATAGTAACACATTAGGAATTAGTATTTGACATTTTATGAGCTACATAAAAATGCAATACAAAAATAAATCAAATCTTATTCACATATTTATTTTTGTGTCCAGTGACCTTTTTAACGCAGAGAGTTATATCGGATCCAACATACAAAATGTCAAATTATAAATATGAGTTAAACTCGAGAGTCACTAATAAAAATTAAATTAAAAATACTCAAATTTACTGTACGNCAAATCTTATTCACATATTTATTTTTGTGTCCAGTGACCTTTTTAACGCAGAGAGTAATATCGGATCCAACATACAAAATGTCAAATTATAAATATGAGTTAAACTCTAGAGTCACTAATAAAAATCAAATTAAAAATACTCAAATTTACTGTATGTTTTAAAATCCAATTTCACATCACTAGACTATCACATTTTTCTCCCTATGATAATTGTCGACCTAATGGGCTATCTTGAGAATATGAGTGTACTTTACTATATAAGAAAGATGACAAGATAAAAGCAAGAAATTGGCTTTATTTGATATAGCTGCTTTTATTTGAAATCTAAAGGGAAATTTAAAAGTTAAAGAGAAGGTTAATTGCATCGAAAGTCGACAAAGTATAGACTTTATTTTATTTTAGTCTCTAATATTTTAATTGTATCATTTTAATCTTTAAAATATTATATATGTTTCTATGTAGTTCTTCAAACATACGACATCCAAAAATTTAATGATTTTTAATCATAAGTTTGTCATGTGATACCTAAATATAGACCAAAAAATAATTTGGATAACTCTTGATTAAAATTTGGATAACTCTGGACAAAAAATTGTACAATATGAGTAGTTCTTGACCAAATTTTAGATAACTTGTGATCAATACTGTGTAATTTAGGTAGTTTTTTGACTAACATTTGGATAAAAATTTGGTTAAGTGTTATTAAAATTATTTTTTTTGTCCATATTTAAACATTACGTAACAAGTTTATGATTAAAAATTATTAGTAATTTAGACGCTGTCTGTGGAACTATATAAAAATATATTTAATACTTTAGAGACTATAATGATATAATTCAAGTATTAGGGATTAAAATGAGATAAATTTTATATTTTGGAGATCTCTGCTGTAATTAATCCTAAAGGGAATCCCAAATTCAAAAATAAGGCTAGTTTTGTCATTTAACTAATGACCCGCGGTCGAAACTAATCAGCCTTCCCTTATCTCAATTGAATCCTCGTCTATAAATACTTAGGCAAGAAGTGAGTCTTTCTTAGTAAATTTCTAGGGTTTCTCTCTCTCTCTCTCTCTCTCTCTCTATATATATATATATGTGCAGTCCCATGCTCTGTGCCTCCCGCGCCTCCTTCTCTGATCAATTCTATCTACCCCCCCCGCCCACATTCGTATATACATTCACATATACATTATAGGTCAACGCTAATGCTTCCTTCCCTCCCATCGTCTTTGTGCTCTCTCTTTGACCGAGTGATCTCTCACCCGAATCCCTCGAGCACACCCTACCCCTGTAAACCATAGCAGAACATTCGAATTCTGTCTATATCTACGATAGATGATTATTGATTTAAAGATTGATTTATAAAGAAGGAAATGCAGGTGGTCAATTCGGGTGAGAAAGTAATTTCACAAGAAGATCGGTCCAATGAACCGGAAGAAGGAGAAAAAGTGGAAGATTTGAAGCCTAATTCGGGTGAAAATAATCCCAAGAATATTGATGATGAGTCGGTGATCGATGTTTCGGGCAGAAGTCTGGATTTTCCCGTACTGGAGGGTACGGAAAATTCGATTGAAGGGTTATATATTTACAAAAACGTATTCAATTTGATTCCCAGGGCTGTGGGGGGTTTCGGGAGGTTGAAGACTTTGAAATTCTTTGCCAATGAGGTTAATTTGGTGCCACCGGGCTTTAGGAACTTGGTTGAGCTGGAGTGTTTGCATGTTAAAGTATCGCTGCCGGGGTTGAGTGATTTGAATTTGGGGAGGTTGAAGGGTTTGAAGGAGTTGGAATTGAGTAGGGTGCCTCCGAGGCCATCGGCTTTTCCCATTTTGGGTGAGATTGCTGGGCTGAAGTGTTTGACCAAGCTCTCTGTTTGTCATTTTTCTATCAGGCAAGTATATTCTGTTTGTGCTTTATGTACTGATGGAATAATATTAGTTTACGACTAAACATGCTTAAATTTTGTTTTTTTTCTGAAAAAGTCTCAACTGTTGAACAAATTAAATGGGCGTAATCATTTTTGTGGTATTATCAGATTACGTCAATTTTAGTTTAGCGGATGATTATCCTTAATTGATTTTTTCTTGAAGATGTTAATCTTGGATGAATCCCTGCAGGTTACAGAAATAAGGTGTTATTCTTGTAAGAATATGCATGTTCATCTTAGTGCAAAAGGACTTGTTAGCAGTTGCTTTGGTATGTCGAGGTAATAGGTTACCTCACTGATTAAGGAGTAGCTTTATTTTGTTTGTCAATGCAACTTAGAGTAACCATAGATCGAGATATTAAATTGCATAAAGGGATTTACCTCAAATTTGTTTTTTCTTAGGATATTTGTTAAGCGGTGGATACAGTATTAGAGGATTTGGAGCTAAATTTTTTAAGTAGGCATTATCCACATTTTCAAGGAATACACTGCACTCTAGAACTCCATAATTGTGTGGTGGCTTTTCATTTGTAGTCAGACCAAAATGGTGACAATGACGAAGAAACGGACAATGGACTATTAGTACTTCAGCTACTTGCCATGTATTTTTAATGAATTAACAATCTCTCTGTGATGTATGAACTGAGTTGTTGGAAAAATGAGCAAAGCAAGTGCTAGCATAGAGACTAAGCTCGATAGCTACAAGAGGGAACCTTTGATCTGTGCACACAACTCAGACATATTAAGATCGGGACTATAGGATTAAACACAAATCCCCAAAATCAATGGTGAATGCAAAACTGAATTTTTACTTAATGGGCAAGTCTTCTAGTTACATTTGATCTGTGCAGGACAAACTAATCTTCCAGAAAAAGAAAAAATTTACCCATTCAATGAAATTTCAGGTTTGGATTCTCCTTTTAAATCCAGAATTTGGATTTCATCCCATACTCATGATCTTGTTGAGGCACTATTATGGTTGGCACTAATGGCAGCGCTGTGTCAGCTGTGGGACTGAGTTAAAGTTGTCAATGTAGGAAGGATCGGAGGTTGATCCACTTGCCCCTGATTCAAGAAAGATATTGAAGTAGCCAAAGTAGGGTGTAAATAGGCTAGAAAATGTTATATCCAGACTAAAGAGTGCAAGAAATTCATTATGGTTTATCTCCATTGCTTTTCATTAAAAGCCCACATCATAATTCACATATCACTGAGGATTTGTTTTATGCACAGGAGGCAAACAACTTACCACATCATAACATAGAGTTCCCATGTTCTTGGGATAAACTACGAGTGTACTAGGGAAAAGTCGTGATGAAACAATGATTCAAAGTATTTGGATTCAGATTTTGGTAGGTAAATAAATTTAGATTTTGGAAGCTAAAGAGAGTGAGTTGATCGGTAGCGGAATCTTTTTGGCTGCAAAAGGCAAAAGATGAATCTGTGGGAAGAAGGTAGTAAAATTGGTCTCAAGGGAAAAGACGAATACGTGGATAAAGAGAGGAAAAAATACCCTCGTGCCTAATCCATTGAGGACTCAAGTGAGATACATGCTGAAATTGCTGGAATGTTTCTATACTCGCTATTTAACCTAGCAAAACAACTCAATAACATCTGAGCTAGTTTTCCAAGGATCTTTATCTAGGAGATGCTGTCGAATTTAAAACTCATAAACCTTTTAGTGGTCCTCTGGCTTATTATTATAACTTAACATAATGCAGTACATTGTGTTGAAGTTTCAAATGGTTAGATTGGCACCCAAGAAAAGTGTCTTGAACTCATTTAGAGTATGACTATTGGAACGAAGAGACTAAGACAAGAATATCAATTTTGCAGTGTTAAAAGTTTTGAAGATATATAATTTATATCAAATAGTACTTTTGATAGGCATAAATTGACCAGTATCCTAAGTTAAGGACCTGGAAGTAACTAAACCAGTTGCCGAGAATGTACCGATTCCATAGACCTAGTAGCCTGATGTATAAAATTGCATGTACCTGTTGCTCCTGCAGCAGCCTTTTGAAAGCCATCGAAAATTTTAATGTATTCCCTGTATTCTTGAAAGCATTGTTTTCAGGGATTTGTCTTTCTTCAAGACTTGTGTTCCCTCCACATTTCCTTCGTTCATTGGTTTCATATTAAACTAATTGTGGCTTAACTTATTCTCTTTGGACCAGTTAGATGTAGTATCTTGTGGATTATTTATCTAAGAAATATTCACAAGCTTTGGCGTATCTCTTTAACTATTTAAGTTGGTAGGAAATCGAAGTTGAAGATTTGGGTTTGTTACTTGGTTAGTCTGGGTTTAAATTTCTTTTCTTCCTTTTCTACTTTTTGTTTATTGTTGAGAATAATCATCATCATCAAGTGTAAGAAGAATGTTTTTGACCAATGCACTAAATTTCGCCTAAGAAAAGATAGAGTATCCAACTTAAAACCAACTGGCTATTGCCAGAGAAACCCCTTAAGTATATACACCATGCCTGGGTGGTGCTAATCATTTGTTGTGGGATACAAGTTCTATTCATACCTTCTCTCATGTGGAACCTTGGGTTTTGACGTGGAGCTAATAAACAAACAAACAAACAAACAAATATGCATATCGGGACATTCAAGTTGGTGAGAGTTTTGATCCACGAACCTCTGATACTATGTTAAACATCCAACTTTAAATAAATTGGCAATGGGTGGAGAGATGCCTTGAGCATATAAACCAATTTTAAGTGGCACTAATACTTTCTTCAGACAATCTGTAATGTTCAAGCATTTCTTTTAGATGAAAAATTAAGACAAATAATTTATATATGCAATGCTCTTTTTTAGTTTGATCTTGATTTTTTTAAATTTTAAATTTGATTCGTAATCCATGTTTGTAAACGTTACTCTCCTAGGTAGATGTATTTGGTCTAGATAAAGTTATGATGTTTTCGCGTGTGTTATTTTTCCTGCAGATACCTGCCTCCAGAAATCGGTTGTCTTAATAATTTGGAGTATCTGGATCTTTCATTTAATAAAATGAGGAGTCTACCGAGTGAAGTAACTCATTTGAATGCATTGAAGTTATTGAAAGTCGCTAATAATAAATTGGTAGAACTACCTTCAGCGCTGTCCTCTCTGCAAAAATTGGAGAGCTTGGACCTGTCAAACAATAAGCTGACGTCTTTGGGGAGTCTTGAACTTGGCTCAATGCATAACCTTCAGAGGTTATATCTTCAGGTATATGTTAATAACTGCAGACTAAGATATATGTTATGCCAGACACCCTTTCTGGACATATGCTGTTTCTTAGATCTTCATGAATTAAATTTTAGACATGCCTCATGGTTTTGTGTTCACGTTTCACAATGACATTTTAGCTCCATGGTTGGCTGTTGTACATATACTAATGGGTAGCATAGATCTCTACAAATTTTACCTAGTCTAACTTTGTGAACTTCATTCCAGCTGCTGTGTTGAAGACCAAGTAACAGCATATGAATATTTCACGTTTCATAATGACATTTTAGCTCCATAGTTGGCTGTTGTACATATACTAATGGGTAGACTAAGTAACAGTATATGTTCACGTTTCATAATGACATTTTAGTTCCATAGTTGGCTGTTGTACATATACTAATGGGTAGCATAGATCTCTACAAATTTTACCAAGTCTAACTTTGTGGACTTCATTCCAGCTGCTGTGTTGAAGACTAAGGGTGCGTTTGGTAACATTTTTGTTTTTATGTTTTTTTTATAAAAAAAAAACAAAATAAAATTTTGCTTTTTTGTGATAAAAATTAAAAATAGAAAATATTTTTGGTAGTCATTTATATTTAAAAAATTATAAAAACAAAAATAAAAAATATGTTTAGTATTATACCAAAAATTCACTACCCAACAGTCAACCACTAGCCACCACCCAACAGTCAACCACTAGCCACCACCAAACACCCACCACCACCAAAAACCACCCCCACAACCCCTTTCCAATACCCAACAACCTCTGAAATTCACCACCCCTCACCCCGAAACCAACCTACACCAGCACCATCCCCTAAAACCCAGCACCACCCCAATAGGCTGAAACCCAGCCCCACCTTAATCGGCTGAAACCGAGCACCACCCAGCCCCAACACCACCCCAATCAGCTGAAACCCACAGCCACCCAACCCACTCCCATTCCCATCCCCATCCCCGAAACCCACAACCACCCCCACCCCCGAAACACCACCACCGAAGCCCATCCCCATCCTAAAAAACCCACCACCACGGTCCAATCCCACCACCACTAACCAACCCCACCACCACTAGCGAAACCCATCACCAATCCCCAAAATCCATAACCACCACCAAAATAGAGAAGGTTGAGAGAGAAAGCGCAAGAGCGACAGAGGGAGAGGGGGGAGATGGCGTCTGAATCCTTCGTCTTCAGCAGATAGAGAGACGACAGAGATATGAGAGGTGAAAGAGAGAGATGACCTTTTATATATTCTACCAAAAATCCATATTTTTGTTGCCAAGGAGGATCGAAGTCCAGACTTCATTAAATCCCTTTCACCATCGCGTGTTTTTTTTATTTTTTATGTTTTCAAAAACATCCTTTTGGATGTTTCCATATTTTAGCCTTCTTTTTAAAACAGAGCAATTTAAAAAAAAATAAAAACATTCACCAAACATGTGTTTTAATTTTTTTTTTTGCCAGAAAATAAAAACAAAAACAAAAAAAAAATGAAAACACAGAGTTACCAAACACTACCTAAGTAACATGATATGCATATTTCAATTACCGCTCCGATTTCTCATTGCCATTGCCATGGCAATTGGTGATTTGTTTATTCATTTATTTTTTTCTGACATGGCCAATACATTTGTGGACCCCCAGGGGATGCCTGATTTGTGCAGTTGGACTTGCTTTTCGACTATTGTGTCTGAAATTTCCTTTCACAGTTCTGTATATGTTATTGATAAATTTAAATGAATTTATTATCCACTGACACTGGTTTACGATTCTATGGTTGATTTGTTAATTTCAACAGCATTTATACAATAATAAAACTGACATTTTTATTATTTCCTTGATTCTTGATGTTGTTCAAGTTCAATAATCTTCGCAGTTGTTGTCAAGTACCTTCATGGATAAGCTGCGACCTAGAAGGAAATGGTAAAGACACATCCAATGATGAATTCATCAGTTCTTCAGTGGAAATGGATGTATACGAAGGTGCCATCCAGGAGATTCATGATAGTGCTCGAATCAGTGAGGCCTACAGACCTTTTAATCTTTCTCCCTTTCTCACCATCATTGCTTTACTGGATTATTTTTGTCCACTTCTTCTTTATTCTTGTTTGTGCTTGTGGTGAACCACTTGTAGATAATTATGATTTGTAACTGTTTTAGGTTCCCCTATTACATTGTCGAGCCATTTAAGTGGAGCCTCATCCAACAGTAGATGTATGGCGTCTCGAAGGTCAAAAAAGGGATGGAAGCGACAGTATTATTTCCAACAGAGAGCTCGCCTAGAGCGTTTAAACAGTAGTAGGAAGTGGAAAGGTGATAATCATGCTGAGGCATCAACTGCCGATGAATCTGAAAAATGCAAACGATGCAAACATGCTATCCTTGCTTCTGACTCTCCTGCAGAAGGTTTATCTGATGTTGTAGGTCCTAGTAATGATAGTGAAGAATTGCTTTCTGGAGGAGATGAGTCTGGAAATTTGCTTCCCGATGGCGAGGAGGATAAAAAAGGTTATCACGTGCAGAAATGCTCATGTGTTGTACTTGACTCTGTTGGCATAGCTAAAGAGGGTGAGAGTGACTGCACAAAGCATCATGCCTCTTTGGATTCTCTTTCAAGCGATTGTGGTGGGAAGGAAGAAGGCTCATCGTCAGAAGTTTCTAACACTAATCTAAAATCAAAAAGGCATCTTGATAGGGACCTTGATAATCCAAAACCAAGCAAATCTCGGAGGCCAAGCGACTTTCAGTTAGATATATCTTGCAAATATAGTAACACATCATTTTGTAGCATTGAGGACCTTCTGCCAGATGGATTTTATGATGCAGGACGAGATCGGCCATTCTTGCCGCTGATGAGTTACGAGCAAAACTGGCAGTTTGACTCACGCGAGGTCATTCTTGTTGACAGGTAATTCCTTATTTGCATATGCTCCATGGATTAGGCTACAAAACTTACTGGATTGAAATCTAAATCGTTGTGACCTATGAATTGTTGTTCAGGGAAAGAGATGAGGAGTTGGATGCCATTTCATTGTGTGCTCAAGCTTTAGTGTTTCATTTTAAGCAGATTAATGGTTCCACCAATAAAAGGGGAGAGGATACTAGTGACAACTTGCAGGTTGCATCGCTGCTTGCTCTTTTTGTATCCGATCACTTTGGAGGCAGTGATAAAAGTGCAGTTGTTGAGAGGACCCGAAAAGCTGTATCTGGTTCAAACTATAGGAAGCCTTTTGTCTGCACTTGCCCTACTGGAAACAGTGAGAGTGTCCCAAAATCCACAAAACGGAGTTCAGATACAGAAGACATTTTTTTCCTTGGTCTCTGTGAGAAATCTCTTCAAACGATTAAAGCAAGAAGAAATTCCATTGTAGTTCCTATTGGAACTCTACAGTTTGGTGTGTGTCGACATAGAGCGTTGCTCATGAAGGTGATACTTCTATTGGAAGCTTTTCATTTTCTAGTTATGGTGGATTTGGATGGATGCCATTCATTCCCAATATAATAAAATATGAACTGACAAGTTTTTCATCTTCATCTACCTAGTACCTATGTGACTGGATGGTGCCTCGGATACCTTGTGAGCTTGTTAGGGGTTATCTAGATTTCTCACCGCATGCATGGAATGTAATTTCAGTTCAGAAAGGTAATTCATGGGTTCGCATGATAGTTGATGCATGCCGTCCACATGACATAAGAGAAGAAACAGATCCAGAATATTTTTGCAGGTCAGTTTTTTTCCTGTTTTAAATTTTGTGATGATATCTTCTTTGTTAATTGTTTTCATCATTTGGGGATACTTTTTCTTATATGGAATCACATTCTTACTTGTGTTCTTCTGCTGTTCTGCATGATTGTGAGACATAAAATCTGAAGCTCTTCCTTTGAAGTGGTATAAATGATTGCTTTATGGATTGTTTGGTATGATTTAGCACTAATCACTGAAAGCTGAATAGTCTTTTTCAAGATTCATAAAATTGCTGTTTTGTAAATTGTAGCTTTTTTTTTTTGTAGCTGTGGTGTGTGGGGCTCTAAACTAAACATGTTTGTGGTTACGATGCAGCATACCACCAGTACTACCCCTTTTTGGGTCCATTAATTTTCATAATATGGTGGAGGAAATATTTGTTGTCATCACCCTGATGGTATCCGTATGATATCAATCAGGCCCTTTTGTTGTATACCTAAGAAATTTTGTTTCTATGAACTTTTTAAGATCAAGTGGTATTGCTGTTAAGTTGTACTTTTTTTTTTCCTTTTTTTTTTTTTTTATGTGCACATTTCTTGGCTGTATATGGTAATGGGAATCTTGTTTTTTCAGGTATGTTCCTTTGAGTCGGATTAATGGCGCACTTATGACAGATAGCGAATTCAGTTCAGGTCGTACCTTCCCCTCCCTTTCTGAATGTGATGAAATTGGAAAAGCAGCACCTAGTACTCTCATCCAATGCAAGTTTGGGGCACTTGAGGCTGTAGCTAAGGTGTGCTTCCTGATGACTTCCCATTCTAATGTCGTCATTTCATGTGTAGTTAATTATTCCTTGGATCCTATACGGTATTTGCTAAACCTTCTTGTTGATAGGATCTGTAATGCTTTTGTTGGTTATTCTCCGTTTTCTTTATGTCTGAACACTAAATCGTACTTTCTTAGCTTATTAGGTGCAGACTTGTCAATGGTGAGGCGGTTTTGTGTCGGGTCTTAGCGTGTTCATGTCAAATAATACTTCGATCATACTCAATTCGATTCGTTTATTAATTCATGTCTAACGAGTCGTGTCATATCGAGTTTGTGTCGTGTATGAATTGTGTATAATCGGTATATAAATGAGTTGACTTGTGTATTTCTTTTGATTGACTTCACCCGTATCCGATTCATTTATTAATCGTATCATGTCGGGTCCACTTGTTTACTAAATGGGTGACTTAAGGAAGATCCAAATCCTCTAATTTAATGTCGTGTTAATGAGNATTAATCGTATCATGTCGGGTCCACTTGTTTACTAAATGGGTGACTTAAGGAAGATGCAAACCCTCTAATTTAATGTCGTGTTAATGAGTCGTGTTATATTTTGACACCATGATATGTAAGCTGTCATATTTGTATTAAGACGGAAAGGCAAGAAAAAAAGATGGTCTGAGGCTTGTCTGATTTGTTCAATGCTGCAGGTGCATACTATGGAAGGATGTGGGACTTCTGCAGACGAAATTAAGAACTTTGAGTTCAATTGTCTCGCAGAAGTAAGAATTTTAAGTGCTTTGAAGCACCCTTGCATTGTTGAAATTTATGGTCATCAAATATCTTCAAACTGGGCCTTGTCATTAGATGGAAAGCCAGAGCATCGTTTGTTACAGTCTGCTATCTTCATGGAGTACATAAAAGGGGGATCCTTAAAGGTGAACATTTCCTGCAATCAGTTAATGTTCACCACCACTTAGTTGCTTGATATAAGTACAACTCATCTTTTATTATCTTCATTTTTACATTTTTCCTGTCCCATTATGTAACAGAATTATGTAGAGAAGCTATCTAGAGCTGGTGAAAAACATGTCCCAGTGGAGTTGTTATTGTGTATTGCTAGAAATGTGGCATGTGCACTGGCAGAGCTGCATTCTAAACACATTATTCATCGTGACATAAAGAGTGAGAACATTTTGATTGACCTGGATAAGAAGAAATCTGATGGTACGCCTGTTGTGAAGCTTTGTGATTTTGACAAATCAGTCCCCCTTCGTTCTTGCTTGCATACATGCTGTATTGCTCATCTTGGAATACCTCCGCCTGATATGTGTGTTGGGACACCTCGTTGGATGGCTCCAGAGGTGTTTCGAGCTATGCATAACCGCAATGTTTATGGTTTGGTCAGTTTTTTTCTTCCCTTTTCTCCAGGTTGTTGTCATTTATTCACATAATGAGTGATAAGCTTTGAAGATAATGTTTCGTGAAAGTGTTATCTATCAAAAACTAAAAGGAAAAAAGAAAAAAAATTCCAGTGTCATGTATTTTTTTGCAAATGATGCTTATTTTGGTGACAAAGCAAAAGAATTAATGTGGAAGATTGCAATTTGCAATACTTGGGCATGCTTTAGAGGCAAAGATCTGAGAATAAATTTTACCAGAGTTTATGCAATGACCTGTAGTAGTAAGGAGATGTTCAGAACTAATGTTGGTCAATCTTGAGGACAAAGAGACATTGGAAGAAACCAGTAGCTGTGGTATATCAGGCAAAAAAAGGTTCATTTAAAGTTTAATCCATTGACCTGAATTTTGAAGTTTTCGTGTGTTTCCTTTTCGCCAATAACTATTGTCTTTGACTCTGTGCATGGCTTATAAACCCAGTATCCATACATTTTCTTTTCTTTCTGAATAGGTGGGGCATCTCACATTGTGTTCATACTAAATTAAAATGAACGTTGCCGACGCATCAACATGTTAATCCTTACCAATCAATCTGGACCTTCAGTATTTTTCGATTGTTTGCCTCATTAGTTTTTCTTTCTTAATATGGATGTAGGAAGTGGATATTTGGTCATTTGGGTGCGTGCTGTTGGAATTGTTGACTTTGCAAGTCCCATATTCAGGGTTACCAGATTCAGACATTCATGATCTTCTTCAGGTACAACTCATTCTGTTCTTTCTGCAATTGCTGAATACCATATGTAATGCGATATAAAGGACTAGCCGGTGTGCATTTCTAGTAAAGCAGTTATGGTAATTGTTAGAGCATCCAACCAAAAATAAATTACGTATTGGTAGCTGCGGGATAGCTCTCTTCACACCTTCTTTCACATGCAACCCGTACTCGCACTGGGGCTAAAAAGCTGAACTAAAATTATAGACAAACAGACTGTTGCTTAACAGACAGACAGACAGACAGATAAACAGACATACAAATTCAGCTGGGTGAAACACTTAGCCCATCAACTACCGAAGGCCCAACTCTGATACCATATTAGAACTTTCAACCTAAAATGAATTGGTAATGGGTAGAGTGTCCCTTTTAGTATATAGACCAACCTTGGGTCTACTCCATTTTTTTGTGTGGATAATTCTTTTCACATTTATAATGTTTTGAAAGTTTTATTGGAATCTACATTACTGGAATTCCTCCATGTTGGCCAAAAGTAAAGCTAACTTGTAATGAAAATTGCTTGGAGGAAAAGAAACTTAATTGTTGATTTGAGTCACAGTGACGTAAAGAACTTTGCAGGAACTTGAGTTTTGTAGAATTTGCTTCTCTCTTTTCCCACCAGTCGTGAAATGCTATCATGTCAATATTTTGTTGCGTGGTAATTTGCAAATGTTTTTTTAAATTGCAACTCGACTCTTTCTTGATCCGTCATAGAATTCTACTGTGCTCAAACAAAGTCTGAATAGATGCCATACTTAAATTATGCTTTAGAAATTTTGTTGAGGTTCTTCGACTTATAGGAGTGAAAATAATCATGATTTCCTTTGGTACAATCAAGCAGATGGGAAAACGGCCGCAACTAACAGATGAGCTGGAGGCATTGGGTCAATCTGGCACAGAGCTGGAGGATCCTGCAATGGCTCAATCTGGCACACAGCTTCAGGGACCTGAGGCTGAGTTGGGAACTCTAAAATTTCTAGTTGACTTATACCACCGGTGTACTGAGGAGAATCCAGCTAACCGTCCAACAGCTGAAAACCTGTACAATACGTTGCTTGCCCATGCAAGCTCTGTCACAGGTTCAAATCTAGATCAAGAGTAGGTTTTCCTTTGGGTATAAATTCTTCCACAATCCACAGTTTCGCTGCCTAGGATGTTTTAGAGTTACACTAGATTCTTTGTCCCTTTCAGGACCAAATATTGGTGCTTACACCGGGTCATCGTAACAGTGTTTTAGTTTCTACAACCCTCCACAATTTATTTTTCCTTTTATGAGTACTATCTAGGGGGATCCCACACACTTTCTACTTAGGTTTTGTTGTTCACTGTTTGGGTAGCTAGGTTAGATTTGGGTTGTGCAATATGTAATCTAAGCCTTGTTAGTTTATAATGAACATTGTATTCATCCTAACTATAAGTAGTTGTGTCAGTTATCAAAACACTCCCAATTTTCCAGCTTCAAACTTACTTTTGATCATGGTGTTCAATATATTCGTAGTATTATCTTGAATTGTGACTTTACCTCCCGCCCTCCTACCTCCCTCTCCCGGGGACGGGGACGGGGACGGGGACGGGGACAGGAAAGAGCGGTGTATAGGAATCTGCGGACACTCCGTTTTTAGCAGGACCGGGGCTTGCTAGAGGCCTCCAATCAGATATATGTTATGTCTTTCGGTTTTTTCTTCAACAGTGTATGCAATAGGGATTTTTTTGAGTGGGTTAGGGTTGGGGGAATAAGCCCTGGGCCTTGTGCCTTTCAAATTTCTCTGGGGTGCTCTTTATTTTCATCTGTAAATGATTGGAGGAAGATGTGTCGGCCTGTTCTGACTCAGCAGCTAGATGAACATATATTATCAGTGTTTTATTGGGATATGAAACCAGTCGAGAGTAACTCAAAGTGGTAATAGACAAGTTGTAAATTTAGATATTTTGAGTTTAAATTCTAATAATTTTTTAAATTCAAGTTATGAGAGATTTATTTTTTATGAATAACCTAATATTGGTGTAGATGGTTTGTCTTTGATGAGATTGAAGAGGGTGTTAGTCAATGTTCGTGTAAGTTGACTTGAACACACCTGACAGTTGAACTAAAAAAAAAGAAGAAAGAAATCAGCTTAAAAAAGAATAGTGACAAGAATTTAGGTCAATTTGCAATATTGCCCCAATGGAATTATTTCCCGGGAAAAAGACACCAGAAAAATCTTATGGAAGCATGTATTAAATAGATATCTGTGTTGGACTTGGTGTGATTATGCACCCCCATTGAATGAGAATTGGACTGGAAGTCTTTGCCTTTGACACAATATAAATCATAAAGAGTACATTTTTATAAATCAATCATTATCCTTGACTTGAATGACATCCACATCCTTCTCTCCGTGAATGTATTTTAATTATTGGGAAATTAAAATTATATTCAAAGTCTCTACCAAAAAGATTAACACCTTTTGTATTATAATTAAACTCGTGCTAACAACTTCAGTTTTGGTAATGATAACCTTTCATCGCTGCTGAAACAAAAGGTGACAATTTTCTTTGGTTTTTTAGCAGGAGGGGGAGAGAGAGAGAGAGAGAGAGAGAAGCCTAGACACCACAAATAGCAGACCAACTGAGATTTTATTGGATGGTGTTCCGAACTATCCTTGTCTAATAACCCTCCCTGATTGCTGAGTCTATCTGTATAAAATGAGCAATGATGGACGAATTTCAAAATTATATTTAAAAAATAAATTTGATAATCATAATTATTAAATAAATAATAAATTTCAATAAATACTGGAACCCACAATGAAATTAATGGTTATAATTATCGTTTATTTTTTAAATTTAATTTTTAAATCCACATTGCTCATGTATAATTATATCAATAATGCTAGATTGACTANTCAATAAATACTGGAACCCACAATGAAATTAATGGTTATAATTATCGTTTATTTTTAAATTTAATTTTTAAATCCACATTGCTCATGTATAATTATATCAATAATGCTAGATTGACTAAATTTTGGGACCAAATTTGGAGCCCAAATGACATGGCAGTTCATTGATTGGTGTCATGTTATTTGGACTCCAATAAAAACATCAATTAATGAACTGTCATGTCATTTGAACTCTAAATTTGATCAATCTAACATTACTCTAATTATATAACTGCACACTGCAAAGCATGAGGGACCCAAACAGACTAATTAATGGGTTGCAGACGCATTCTTCCACCCACCACCTTCTGCTCTCTTCTATTTGGTGTACTGTATACAGTTAATGTAGTGGATATCTTCTGGGGAGAGAGAGAGAGAGAGAGAGTGTGTTACCTTCACGAGTTATGCAGCATGTCTGTCTGTAAGAGCCAGAGGACCACTCTAGTGTACTAGCAGTCTATGACCACCCCCTTCTTTTAGCTCCTCTGCGTTCTTGTCACCAGGACCACAGTCTCAAACGAGTCCTTAGTCCTTTTCGGGTTCTTGGGGGAACACACACCACAACATTATCTGTGTGTATTAGTTGGCCCAAGGTAAAGTTAATTTGTGGCAGCTGAGCCCCTCGTTCGGATCCACTGAAGTTGGGTTGTTCACATAATTAAGTCCATGATAATAGGGTAAGGACGCGAAGTCCCATGCTTAAACTCCAAAATGTCATTGGATTGGATACTCATGTTTTTCTTCAGTAATCACAGGTCTCTAACGTGCAGTATACACATTATAGTGTACACGAGGCACAAAGCCGTATCAAATTTGATTTATTTTAAGGAAAATTTTAGTCACATCTCTTCTAATTTATCATATATTAAAGGACACTTCTTTTATTATTAAAAATATTATTGACACTCCTTTTAATTTATATTTAAACATCATTGACACCCCTACTATTAAACCACCATTTAAAACAAAAATAAATTATTTCAAATACCAAAATTACCCTTACTTGGTTATGTATTAAAATTGGAGTTGATTAAAATTTTATTCGAAACTCAAATCAAATTTTAATCAATTTGCATTAAATTTTAATCAACACATTTTTTGATACATAAAAAAATATAAATTTCAATTGACTCAAAAAATAAATTTGAATCAAATTTTAATAAAAANAATTGGAGTTGATTAAAATTTTATTCGAAACTCAAATCAAATTTTAATCAATTTGCATTAAATTTTAATCAACACATTTTTTGATACATAAAAAAATATAAATTTCAATTGACTCAAAAAATAAATTTGAATCAAATTTTAATAAAAATAAATAAATAAATTTTAATCTATTCAAAATAAATTTTATTCAGTACTAACAGCTCAAGTAGAGGTCAAATTGACTCAAATTTTAATAAGTAAAAAAAGAATTTTAATAGAGTCAAATTTTAATACGTAAAAAAATAAAATTTAATCCGATCAAATCGAATTTTAATCGGCTCGAATTTTAATTTATAAAAAAATTAGAAAATAGAGAGAGTCTTATNGTCAAATTTTAATACGTAAAAAAATAAAATTTAATCCGATCAAATCGAATTTTAATCGGCTCGAATTTTAATTTATAAAAAAATTAGAAAATAGAGAGAGTCTTATTGAAGATATGTCTATCTAAGGAAGGTGTGGATGGAGTTTTTTGTAAAATATATCATAAGTAATTTAGTAAAATTTCATTCTAATTAAAATCTTTAACCTGACAAGGGTGTTAGAGAAGTTTCAGATAATAAAGAGGNAATTGGAGTTGATTAAAATTTTATTCGAAACTCAAATCAAATTTTAATCAATTTGTATTAAATTTTAACCAACCCATTTTTTGATACATAAAAAATTATAAATTTCAATTGACTCAAAAAATAAATTTTAATAAAAAAANTCAATTTGCATTAAATTTTAATCAACACATTTTTTGATACATAAAAAAATATAAATTTCAATTGACTCAAAAAATAAATTTGAATCAAATTTTAATAAAAATAAATAAATAAATTTTAATCTATTCAAAATAAATTTTATTCAGTACTAACAGCTCAAGTAGAGGTCAAATTGACTCAAATTTTAATAAGTAAAAAAAGAATTTTAATAGAATCAAATTTTAATACGTAAAAAAATAAAATTTAATCCGATCAAATCGAATTTTAATCGGCTCGAATTTTAATTTGTAAAAAAATTAGAAAATAGAGAGAGTCTTATTGAAGATATGTCTATCTAAGGGAGGTGTGGATGAAGTTTTTTCTAAAATATATCATAGGTAATTTAGTAAAATTTCATTTTAATTAAAATCTTTAACCTGACAAGGGTGTTAGAGAAGTTTCAGATAATAANGTAATTTAGTAAAATTTCATTCTAATTAAAATCTTTAACCTGACAAGGGTGTTAGAGAAGTTTCAGATAATAAAGAGGATATATTTGAAGATAAAATAAATTAAAATAGATGTGACTGAAATTTTTCCATTACTTTATGTTGTTTCATATATGAATTTACTGCAGAATAAATAGAGTTTTCAAATAAAAAACCTGCTAGTAGAGGAAAACCTCCCAGATAAGAGACAGATGGCTCACGAAAAGATCTTTGGTGCATAAAAACATCTCTTTCCATCTCTTAGGATACAATCCTTAAGGTTTACCTCTTCTTAGTACATAAGCCCATCTGATTAGGAGATCTTAGATGTCAAACTCGTTAGGGGGAAAGTGCGTATGTGATGAAAAAATGCTAGTCTTTGTAATTTAAGACTTAAGTTCCATCTTCACAAATCGTTCGGCACCTCTCATTTCATTGCTACAAGGCGTATGCTAGAACTAGATACAACAATTTATTTGAAAAAAAAAATGTCAGTGTTCTATGATCCTAACCACTTTCTTTGAAATGCTATTGATTTCAAAACGTTCACAGGGCATATAGATAGGGTACACAAATAACCTTTTTCTTGAACTCTTTATGACGGTGAAATATCACCATCAAAGTATGTTAGAAGATGATTTACTCTGGGGGAGGGGGAAACAGTAGTGAGAGTGAAAATACTTTGACAGCAGCACTAGATTTTCTTTCCTTTTTAGTTAATTAGAAAGCCATTGGAGAAAAGGATCATACATCACCAAGTCTAGTGACTGACTGAAGAGAAGATATAATAGGAAAAAGCTCCATGCAAGGCTAAGACAAATCAGAGATTTACGAGCAAAGGTGGGTACGACTCGATCTTACATGCAAGTATTTTTAAGTCTCTAACCCAGAACAACGAAGAATGGGACAACTAAAGTGTTTGAAGATAAACCTCTTTAGAGGTAATAGGCTTGTGCCTGTACCCTCGGGCTGTTAGATATACGTAGCATTGCCTTTGCATGCATAAATGTTATTTTAGTTACATAGTCTTTAATACTCAAGTCACAATTATCGTAAAAAGTCAAAAACCCTATTTAATATCACATTTAAATAAATATGGATTTATTGTTGACGCATATGTTGTGTTAGGAAGAGGCCAGATAATGATATTCATGCTATTCAAGTAGATTAATGTTTATGATATGATGGCAAATGCT